CACATCGATTCGTTGCGCCGCACTCGAAGCGTCAACGGGAGCAGCAGGAGCACCTAAGGGTTCACAGGCATCGTCGGGGTTATCTTCGTCGTGATCTGCGTGAAAAACAAATTGTTAGATTATCAGGACAACATACACAGTTGCCTATCCTCTCACCCATCAAGCATACGAGGCCCTCAAACAGAAATACGCTCTCATATCGTGGACTATAATAAAGCACTTCGCTTTCACAAGTAAGCATACATCCCCATACGAAGTATTTCACACATACTCTTACTTGAACTTACGAAATCCCACGATAACCACGTGAACCACGTTAAAAATTCAGAAAACACTACTGCGCACACAGAGTATACGACTTCCGCGCACACAGTGTATGACTTCCGCACATACAGAGTACACGACTTCAGAGGCACCGCCATGTACAGCATAAGCGCGCTCCGGGATGGCGCCTGGGTATACGCGCATACGCGTCTGCCGAAACCAGGCCATGCTACAGCTGGACCTGACAGTCCGTTCCGACCAGCAAGGCACACCCTCGCCTCACGCTCGCGCACATGTAATCACATCACACGTACTACTGTAACACAAAAGCAAACATTAAAAGAGAGATTCAGTAGAAACTTTTATTTAAAAAAATGCAGTACAACTCTCGGGACACCATTCGCCTTTCCAGGGCACCATATACTGAGCTGCGGCTACACGACAACCTCTGGTATGGTCCGATCCTCATGTAAATTTAAATACTCTCTTCAATGTCGGAACTAATTTGCTCTACTTCAATTTCGTCAGTTATACTTTGGTTTTCCAGCATTTTTCGCAACCAATTAATATGTTTAACACTTATTCTTACAAAATATTTTTAAGGCAATGTTTAGGATAAATTTACTTTCCTCGTGTATCAAATGGTGATCGGTAACAGCGGCAATTAATGTGTCCGCGGCGTCATAAGCCGTACAGCATACTTTCGCTCAAGAGCGAGCACCACAGCATGACGCCTTCCAATAAACCCTCAACTTTAAATCATTTAAATCCCAATTTTGTCGACCACATAACTCTCGGAGTAAACTGTAACACTTATCAACACATTAGAACACTAAGATACTACTTAGTGTTTTTAATTCATAGCTCGTTAAAGTTAAACTTTTTTTTGGTACATCGTTTAAACATTTAAAGGTAAAGGTTCACATTTTGTCTGCGGGTGCTATCGGGCGATCAGCTTGACCAGTTTAGCAAGTAAAGTTTACTCGAAGGTTTTGACACGTAGGATGCAAGAGAAATCGTAAAGATTTCTATGGGAGGCACAATGCGGATTTAGACCTGGAAGAGGATGCACGGATCAAATGTTTTCTCACCGCATGATCACGGAAAAGCTCCTGGCTGCTAACCAGAAGATTTTCTGTGCTTTTGTGGATCTTGAGAAAGCATTTGATAAGGTTGTAAGGAAGAAAATGTGGGAGCTGTTGCCGGGGTATGGTGTGGATGGTCGATTGCTAAGGGCTGTGCAGTCTCTTTACTGTGACTGCAAAGCCTGTGTGCGGGTAGGGCATGACCTGTCACCCATGTTTAACGTCCAAACGGGCGTAAAGCAGGGTTGTGTCATGTCTTCCTGGCTGTTCATACTGTATCTCGACAACTGTTTACAGAAGCTGAAAGATAGCTGTTTGGGTGTGAAATTGGGTGACATAAAAGTAAATTGTCTGCTGTACGCTGATGATGCAGTGCTTATTGCACCATCAGAGGCAGAACTGCAGGCATTAGTCACGTGTATGAAAGAGGAATGTGAAATTAAAGGTCTCCGTTTGAATGCTAATAAAACGGAGGTTCTGGTATTTGAAAGGGACGAAGGGAGAACGAAGTGTGAAATATGGGTAAATCAGGAATGTCTAGAACAGGTAAATGAAATTGTATACTTGGGGAGTGCTTTTAGCCGGGATAGAAGATGTGATTTAGATGTGGACAGGCGTGTTGCTGCCGGGAACAAAGTCAATGGTGCCCTGACTGCGTTAGTCAAAAGGCAGGGCGTAGCGAAGAGTGCACGCCTTGCAATACATAACGCAGTGTTGGTACCGACTTTGTTATATGGCAGCGAAATCTGGGTATGCCAGAAGAAGCATAAAAGTAAGTTGAATGCAGTGGAGATGCGATCTCTTCGTAAAATGTGCGGCGTTACCATGGCCGACCGAAAGCGAAACGGAGAGATTCGCAATATGGCAGGTTAGAAAGATGACCTTATCACAAAAATTGATAAGGGCGTGCTTCGGTGGTTTGGGCACGTTGAGCGAATGAGTGAAGACCGAATGGTGAAGAAAATATATAGCGCGAAAGTTAATATTAAAAGGTGTCGAGGTAGACCGAGACTAACTTTCGAAGACCATGTGAGTAAATTGCTCGAAGATGGTAGGGTCAAGAGTACTCGGATACCTAGACGTGCATGCATGAAGAAGATAATGAATCTGAAAGAAGCGAAAGAGGTTTGTAAGGATCGTGACACTTGGCGATCTGTTCTCTCTGGCTACCCCGTCGGGGATTGTGCGTGAAGATAAGTAAGTAAGTTAAAACATTTTGAACTTTTAAATTAGCCCATGTAAATCACACCACGTATGAAATATCATATTATAACATTACTCGATCAAGTTAAATTTCCACTGAATGCAAACATTATCTCATTTAGAATACCTCCAACATTTCTTTCGACATTTGTTATCATATTTGGGTACGTTAACAAATAATGAAAGTACTTGCGGGTACTTTTTATTATAAATCGAACAAAAGGATTTAACTATGGCGTAAAATGTTTCACTTTAAACTTTTACTATACGTTTTAATGGTACGTCAAATTCGTAAATAGGACAAAATAAGTTAGTTAAAATAACATTTAACATGAAAACATAAAGCGAGGCGCGTCATAATCTTTCACCAACGTAATAACTCTCACACTCTTCGAAGGTTATATGTGGACAGTAACAGGGACTTTATCCCACTTCTGATATCGGAAACGACAACAGGAGATCCCACTTGTGTTCTCGGAAATACGTCAGGATAGCGTTAACTGTTAAAAATAATAAAAGTGTGAGAGCGGATGTTCAACTTGCTCTCTTGCTTACGCAGTTTAATCATTATCAGTAATAAGACAACGTAACGCACTATACATTCAGTATACTGAAATTACAGTTCGACCACCGTAACACGTCTCCGCCACAATCACACACCAGTGTAACGTGAGGTACGTAATTACATAATAACACCAAAATATGTAAACCAACAGCAACACTACTTATCTCAATGTAACAGGACAGCATCTCAGCAACACCAATCCTCCTTGACTGCACTAGAAGAATTACAACAACGAACAGAACCACGACTCTATCTTTAGCACTAATCGAGTGACCGCACTCGTTGAATGACTTGAGCGGAATCTCTCGCACACGGCACCTACAGTGAACTTTATACTACAGACACAAGAGGGGGTTTCTCGATATACCCTCCATTCTACCTCGATCCAACCGGGTATTTTATAGACGCTCCGACATATTTATATCACATTCAATTAACAACTTTTATAAATATTGTGTTAAAGTTGATAATCTTAAAACGAATTAACATGAGTTGGTTAATATTTCAATCAGTCATAAAAGAGACGTACTTTAGTTTGCTATTGCATTAGATTTCATGGTGATAACATTTGTTAATAATATTTCGTGAACGATAGTAATTATAGGTGACGGTGATGAAGCGAAAATATGAAAGGGTATATACAGCGAAGTGGGCGCAAGATCCTTTACTTTCATTATGGATCTCCAAAGCTAAAGATGATCCAGACTGTGTAACTGCAAAATGGCACCCGGCTGTCCACTTTAAAGGAGCATATCGCTACTAGTAAACATAAAAAAATATGAGTGGATTTAACATGCGAAAGAATATTCTCTCCAATAAATTTAATTAAGACAAAAACACGAAACAGATTTATAAACAAACATTTACTGTCTATCTTGTACGTTAAACAAGACATTGGTGAGCATGGCATGCATTCAAACCAACAAAAGGTATGTTTTATTTTAATTTAAAAAAATATAGCATTTATCTGTGTATTTTTACTTTTCTTAGTTTAGTACAATGTTAAATAAAGTTGGCAGTATTTAGACATTTTTCACTACAGACTTTGGCAGGATTTGGCAAGTTTTTAACCAAAGTGAGGCAGAATCTGTATTTTAAAGATGGTCACCCTGGTCTCTGTCTCTGTGACAAGCTGACAAGTATGGTGGATCGAATCGAAACGCGTCGATTTTTAGTTAATATTTTTTTGTTTTGTTTATGTACATATGAGTTCATGAATTGAATTTCTTTAAATAAGTAATAATAAAATTGAAGTATACTATATTCCATTAAAAGGGGAAGTTATTACAAACCATCAAATATTTAATGAAACAATATTTTTTTAAATAATTAGTGCTAGAAATATTGTGAGGTTAAATCAAGCATCATCTAAATTCGAAGCAAGATGGTTCAGGTATCGTATTTATATTCGTTTCGTATCTGATCTGAAGATATTACCTGTTTATAATGCAATACAAGAATTTCTGTGGATTTTATTGCTTCATAACAAAAACTGGAGAAAATCCTGCTAAGTACATTGTGTTGAGCAATCAATTTTTTTTAATTTGTAATCTTAAACATTTTGTTATTTTCGATATCAAGAAATAAAATAATTGTGTCTTAGATTTATGTACAATATTATTTTATAACAAAACTTAATACCTATTTAATTTTAATGAATAATAATAGTTTACAAGCAGAGTATGTAGTACGTAAAGCACATAAAATTAAATCGAAACGAATTTAGAAATATAGTTTTAGAAGCTTTGACAATGATTAAATAAATGTGATTTAATTGAAAATTCTGTAAAACATTATTTAAATCTTACTAAAATTTAAGTTTTCTTTGACAATATGATTTCTAATAATTTTAGTTTAATTCATAACAATGTTTTTGGCAGGCAATGGAGGAAACTGAACATCCTGATCTCCCACAAGCAGTGAAGCTGCTGAAAGAGATGAATACAAATGTGCAACAAGTTTCACAACTTGTAGATAATATGTTAGCCAGAGTCAGGAATGGAGAATTGTCAACTGATAAAGGATTGAGTTTCTTGGAGATGAAATATCAAATGTTATTAAGTTATTTAATCAATTTGACATATATTGTCCTTCGAAAATGTTCAGGGGAAAGAATTGAATCTGATCCATCTATTGATAGACTTATTGAAATAAGAACTGTATTGGAGAAAATTCGTCCTATAGATTCTAAGTTAAAATATCAAATTGATAAACTTGTGAAAACTGCAGTTGTTGGTTCAGTTACAGAAGATGATCCACAGTCATATCATGCTAACCCTGATAATTTAGTTAGTAAAATAGATAATAGTGATGAAAATACTAGTGATGAAAGTGATGATGAAGAATCGAGAAAAGAGAAAACTACTAAGCCAAATATTTATGTTCCACCAAAATTAGCAGCTGTGCATTTTGATGAGAGTACTTCAAAAATTGACAGTGAAAAGAAAAACAAAGAAAGGTCAAAGAAACAGTTTCTTAATTCAAGTGTGATGCGAGAACTCCGTGAGGAATATTCTGAAGCACCTCTAGAAGTTACAACAGGAAATCAAATTAAACATTCTATATCTAAATATGAGCAAGAAAAGACAGAATATGAAGAGAATTATCTTACACGTCTACCTGTTACAAAAGCAGAGAAAAATCGTAGGAAAAAACTAACAACAGTAGGTATGTTGGCAGATGAAATAACAGGAACTCGTCAGACATCTCGAAAGCATAAGTTGAAATCTAAAAAGGGCAAAGGGTTTAAAAGAAGGCGTATCCATTGAAAGTTGTGCTTGGATCATGTGTATTATTATTACATTTATAATTAGTATGGTGTAATAAAGACTAACAATGAAGAATTTACACTGTTGATTTAACTCAAACACAATGATAAATCAAGTACATTAATTAAATGTACTGTGTGTAACTTTGTTATTGTAGCTTATTTGCAACTATGAAAGCAATATTTAATAGGATATATTTTGCTCTGTTCTGAATATTAAAAGTTTAAAACAATTTTTAAATTGAAGCTGCCCTGAATAATGAAAATATGTTTTGTTACAAGGTTACTAAAAATAAAATAATTATTTAACAAAACATGCTTAACAAATATTAATATTAAAAGCTATGATACTCATTTTTATATAAAACATAAAAAACTAGCATTATGAAACCATAATATATTTTACCGATCCTCTACATATTCAATAATTTCATATTTATTATCCAATTATTTGAACATCTGTGTCATAATATATTATTCATTTCTCCCTGTCTAAAACGAAGAGCTGCCTACCTGTTGATAGAGTGCCAGTATTTTCTATGTATTTTATGAATTCCATTCATTTACTATAAATAAAAAATTAAGAAATTTTTAATGTAACTGTTTAGAAAAGTCTAGTTAATTTGAGCTATATACATTAAGCCACTCAAAAAGGTCAAATAATTAAACTTTAAAAAGTTACAACTAACTTCTAAAACAAAAAAAAAATTAAATTAAATAATTTCCACGAAAACTAAAACATGAAATTATTTTATTCATTTTTACTTTTTTATAAAGTTCTATTAATTGATTTAAATAAGTTATAACGAAAATATATAAACTTCCAAACAATTATAATTAAAAAGTCTTTTGTCCTAAAATAATAATGCTGAAGTCAAATGTCTTTATTTGATAGTATAAAAAAAAAATAAGTAAAAACCGTTAGGTTCATATGAAATAAAAATTTAAAATACCTTGCCTTTCTTAATTGTGAAACTATGAGATAACTGTACTTTTTGACAGTATGATTCGAGTGGCCGCCACTTTGGTCACTGTAATAAAGCAGTGTGTATCTGTCATGAACACGATGCACACTACATTCTCCGCCAAATGCTTGCTGAGCTTATTGGCCTTTAAAGAAATTATGATTGAAACTTTTTTTTAAATTATTTTTAATTACCTACGTAGGTGTTTGTAATTTTAGTACCTGTTTACTTGTTTATAGCTCTGACAGCACAAAATATTACTATTATTTTATATTATTTACATTTACTATTTTAATTTTGTTGTTCTGCTTTCATTTCTTACGTGTATATTATTATCATATTTTACATGTGTGTGAGCGCAGAGGGACTGTGCTGGGAATTCACAAAATAAATTGAATAGAATTTGTAAAATAGTATATAAAAATTTATAGCTCCTAAAATGTGGTCCCTCAAATCTCACTGTCTATCAGCCTGATTTCGAAAGGTATGGTAAAAATGAAGTTATTGTAATTACAGAAATTAAGGTAAAAAATTGTGAGACTTATTTACTAAATAATAAGTGACAAAGTGAAGATAAAAGAAATAAATATCTAAACAATGGTCCACCAATCTTTAGCAAAGCATTAAAAAATGTTTTGCATACTGTTTAATATTGGCGCAATTTAAAGATACTATCTGATGGTTTTGAGTGCCATATGTGAACATGAGTGACATATATTATGTGCTAATTGTTTGATGAAAGGAATATTAAAGATGTGTTGTTACCTTTTAGTAAAAGGTTTCTACTGCATAATCGAAAACTTTAAATGTATATTAATGACTTAATAGTTACAATAATCATATGAAATGAAAATACACCATTGCATTGAATGCAGAATAGTTTTGAATTAGGGTCTTCACTCTTTTATAAGATGTATGTGTTAAAAAAAGGCATATATAGCAATTCACAATACTATGTTAGTCCCTACTCTCATGCTTCTGCCATACCCAATTATAGAATTGGGTATGGCAAAAGAAGCATGAGAGTAAAATTAACAAAACACATTTATCATGGTCACACTAACTGATGTATTTTCATAGAATTCATATTAAGATATGATTATCATAAGTAATCAATACATATTTTAAGTTTTTGATTATAAAATAGAAACCTTTTACTATAATTTAAGTACACTTGACATTCTAATATTCCTTTCCTCAAACAGTTTTGTTTTAACAGTTGCTACATAAAATTGCACTAAAAATATTTTGGTTTATTTCTTTTTCACATTTTTATAGGCATTAATACTTCTACTTCTTAAAATTTTAACTGAAAAAACAAAAACAAAACAATTCGATTGAGAATGTCTCACTAATTATATTTTTTGGGTGGACTGAAGGACCACAACTTAGATATATGTTTTTTTTATCTTTACACAGTGACTTGTTACATATTTATTAGATGAGCCTTACAATATATGCCGTGCCGTGCCGGCAGGGTCGAAAAGGGACGCCCTAGACGAAGGTTTATCAACCAAATCGGCGATACATTAAAAATGGGCCAGATTAGGAGTACCCTTAACCGACGAGCGTGTATGCGTAGATATATGGATGTAAAAGAGGCGAGAGAGGTGTGTCAGGATCGCGCCAAATGGAAGTCCGTAGTCTCTGCCTACCCCTCTGGGTGACAGGCGTGAGTGTCTATGTATTATGTACAATATATTTACTGTCTGGAATGACATTAACTTTATATTTAAGATATTTTCCAAGTTTTAACTGATAGACTTCGAAAACTGAGGTACCACACTTTTTAATTTGTTACATATTTTTTACAGATTTCTGGATTCGTTCTACAATTGTTTTAAGCCTACTAAATTCTTAGCAATGTATCTCGCGATATCCCTGCATGAGACCTTCAGCGCTCACACAGTTTTAGTCCCTTACTTTTGTCTGTTGAAAGACGTAAATAACAACATATTACAGTTTTTATAAAAGTAGTAACAGCTTACATCCATCCCACCACTGGGCATAAGCTCATCTTCTCTTAACTTTGCGGGTTTATAGAATGGATACCGCTTTTATCATAGTCATTATTTAAATTGCATTATGTATACATTTATGTATGTTTAATATTATGTCTGCATTAAAGAAACGTTGACCTGTGGTAGCTCAGGAACTAAACTCTCGCCGTAAATTTCATAGTACGCGAGCAACCTGGGTTCGATCACCGCCGGCACCGATGAAATTGTTAATTGCAATTTTAATTGCTAATGTACCATTTATTGTGTGGTGAAGGAAAACATCGACAACAAGATTTTAAAGATGTGTAGTCCGGAATTTGTTTGAGAAAAGGCGGACATTTCCTTGCCATAAAACCATAATGCCAAACATATGAAAACCTGTGCCCAGCTGTGGGACATATATGTTACTAACTAAAACAACAAAGCCTGTAATAGGTATGTCAATTTAATTAACAAAATAGCACAGATTTAAACATCATGTGCATTATTAAGTAATTATATTGATTCATATACCTATCTATGTAATTTGAACTAGTAGTTTAAACATTACATTCTGGAAAAGTATTATGATTAATATTTTCACCTTTTATTACAAAACTTGATTTATATTTCTAGAAGGTCAATAAGAATGTGGAGTGAAGCCGAAACTATTCATTGAGTTTTGACATTAAAGCTAGCTTATCAGTCGAGCTTTTTTATAATTTAAAATAAATATATATGTTATGAACATCTGATTAGTACAGATAATTAAGTTAAATATCTTAAAATTAAGGAACTATTATAAATTTTGTAAGTCGGGTTGCAAATGAATTGCTTTTATTTTAAATAAAGATGTTTATTTTAAAAGTGATACCTGTTACAACGATTTATAGGTACGTGTAGTGTGAAACTCACTAATTTATTTTGCGACGTGTTAACCAGTAATGACATACATGTCAGTTACTTGCATTGTCAGCCAGTCAGCAAGAATTAGTATAAAACTATTTTTATAATTAGTTACAATGGAACATTTATTCCCTAATTTTTTTTTCCACTTAACTAGCAAGCTTTTATTGCAATTTACACTGTCCGTTATGTTTTACTCTAGATACATTTTGTTTAGGGGCAATATTCTGTTGTGCCCAAATTTTAATTTCTGATTTTCATCATGTATTTGTTTTTAAAGTTCAAGAAGAAATATTATGAAGGATATATAGTTAAAAAGTCTAAGTTACTTGATAAATTTTTATTTGTCAGGTTTTTAAGGAAAACACATGGTAAATAATTTAAAAGTTGGTTTTACACATTTTATTGCCCTAAACTTTATAAGCATAACAACATATATACATAATATTATTAATTTTATGGTTTATCACATTAACTTACATTGAAAAATGACAAACATAATATTGTACTTTTAATTGAAAATAATCAATACATAGTGTTTATAATACACCTTTTTTAATTTATAAAATTATTTTCAATGATTTTTGTTCATTCCTAAAATATGTATATTATAGACCCATATTATTAGACACATCTAAATATTAAAATTGTTTAAATTTCTTACATACCCTTTTTAAGAACAAAGTGGAATGAATATTAATTAATACAAATGTTGATAGTCTTTTAGTGCATGTTAGTTATTCTTTAATTTTCATTAGTTAATGTTTTTTTGTTTCTTTATTTCATTTGGTTTGTTTCGTTTTTATTTAACAAATATGGAATTAAATGTAAAAATATGTTGTAATGTTTTATTTCGCAAGCTAATTTTATAAAGATGGAAAATCTTGATGACAAGTTACAGGGTTAAAAGACTGGTATCGACATAATCTCATTCTTCTAATGTGATCTATTGGAGTGTGGGTATCTAAGCACTGGTAGTCACCATGCGGTGGCGCTGTTCCATAATTTTGTGTCAAATCCGAGCGGATAATACGATTCATGAGCCATATCGGAGATGGTAAAGTGAGCTGTAAAATAACGTACACGTATAAATATAAATTGACAAGAAAATATTTTTTCTATAATCTTTGCAATTTTATATTTTTTTAAATATACCTAAGTATATTGTAAATTTTTAGATGGAAAAATATTTATGGTCAAAGATGTTATAGGTGCTCTGATCTATCATTACCTATATATTATCATTTTTAAAAAGAGCACTCGTCTTCAGATTTAAAAAAAGATCTGGTACTTTGGTCGGGAATGGACCCACAGGTTTTTAAAAAATATGATTAGCGATACATACACCGTGTACCGTGCATCATTGCTTCGATGCTAAAATTACCTACCATAAAGAATGTCAGAAAATAAAAAAATTAAAAGAACGGCAATTTTCTTTTGTTTTATACGATTTTTTATTTTCGGGGCAATGAACTTGTACGAAAAAATATTATGGAAATAGGAATTCAGCTTTTAGTTAAAATATTACCCATAAGCCGTATTTATTTAAACTATAAACAGAAACAGCAAAATCGTCTATAAACAAAAAAATGTGAACTTTTAATAATAGGTAATTAAAAATTTTGTATAACCGTCTTCAATATAAATGATTAAGAATAACTCAAAAACTATTGGTCAGAACTTGATAAAATTTATATGGGACCACGTAGAGGGAGTCGGGACTGCATAAGAAGCACCAGCTTTAAAATAAAAAAACCATCATCGAAATCGGTTCACCCAGAAAAGTTATGAGAAAAAACACATAAAAAAAAACACAGTCGAATTGAGTACCTCCTCCTTTTTGAAGTCGGTAGAAAAATAAAAGCCGTCTTCAGGGCTAATAAAAATAATAATAATTTTGAAACTAAAGTTCGTGCGCGGCACAATATATTACAAGAATCGAATAAGAATAGAGTAAAGATGATCACGAAAACGAAAAACTTTTCTTACGTCCTTTTAACGCTTATTCCGTAGTCCGTAGGACAAAGGCCAAAAAGTCGAAGTATGGATGTTCAACTACAACCAACAAATAAATCGACTAATGAAACTTGTGCAGGAAATCGGAATTACGATATATTCTCTCATCGATTTGGAGCCCCCACAAGATGGTGTGATGACCATAAAATGAATTAATTATTTGGTTAAAGAAATTACCGGTTTTGATACAGTCTGGTTAGGATTCCTGTAATCCTCTTGTTGGGTTGTAATATAATCCATTACACCAAACTCGAGCGGCAGTTGAGCTAAGTCAGCACTCTTCATCAGCTTATTTCTTCCAGGTGTACTAAATAAAAAACATTGTTTTTAGTTCTTATGTTTTAATACTAACCGTTTAACAGTGCTCAATCCTAAAGCAACAAAAACTTAGTAGCTATTTTCAGTATATAAAAAGTACTCTGTGGTAGCTATTGTAGCTTAGCGATAGAAATAGGTAAGAAGCGATTATGCAACCTACCGACGCACTCCTATATAGAAGGGGAGCCTAGAAAATAAACAAAATCCAAAATAGAGAAATATAATCACACGTGTTAAAAATGGATATGGTTTGCCTTCGGAGACAAAGAGATAACTGCTCCTTTCATGCTCTTCACTGAAAGATTTTAAATCGATTTTTTACAAGAAATACTTATTAAAAGTCATTTCTGCTTTTACGACTGGTTCTCAAAAACCCTTTGTAGTGGTTTTATAAAAAATGGGATTTCTCTTGTACTTGTAATAGTAGAATTATTTACGTTAACGCCGAGAAAAGCTCTGTCGCCCAGGTACGGGATAGGTACCTACTAATGAACGTAGGTAATTCTTTTTTTTATAGTAGTAAGGGTGACAAACGAGCATACATTTCTCCTGATATAAAGACGATGATGTGCCGGAGACAAATATATCTTTGATTAAGAATGAAAAAGCAGATGTCTTCTTACCCCTGAGGACTAAAATGCATCGTTTGCTAGTAAAAAAGGTCTCAGTTTTCTCTTTACGTATTTCGCTACCAAGTTTGTTCTCGCTATTCACCATCCTACGAATTTATTTGTATTCTTTGCGAGTGTAGTTCTTCCTCGGTTGAGTCGACCCATACGTCATACAGTCATAATATGCTGCAGCGTGGCCTTTCCACGCACAAAATTAAATAAGTAACATAATATTAATGATAATGACTGCTTCAATTTGATATACTCACTCTGTGCATGGATACGAAGTAAAATTAACAAGCGGTTTGTAAATATACACCGGATCAGTTTTAGTAAAGACTTGCTGAAGCATATGATGAGTTTCAGTAACTCCTACTCCTTGATCAGTATTCCCCAATCGTAAGTATGTACTTAAATGATTGCTTAAACGGTCCCGATACACATAATTATCCTTTTTTTCTGCTCTTACCGAGAAGTCCCAATTTTCCACTTTTGTCTTGGGACCGTATATATTTTTCGAAAATAAAATTTGTTGAGGTTTCTTGGCCATCGGGCTTTTAGTTCTCATTATTAAAAATAAATATCTATTATTATTGTAAATAAAACTTGACACAGTTATGAAGTACCTATTTATCTTCAGTTAATTTTTACATATTAATAAGGTTAAAATAGGTTTTATATGCGAAACAAACGTAAAGGCCTTAGCTGTAATCAAGACAAGCCTTAATAAAATATGTCAACTACTTATTAGTTACTTGTTACGAAAGTATTTATTTTACATTTAATAGATACCCTATACCTATGAGAGGTTACCACACCAATCGATCGACGATTGATGGTGAACTGGATTAATCGACGTCAATCGAGCTGTTTGATTATTCGAAAACCCGCCCAGCGACTGCATTTTGAAAGATATACTGATAATGAGCTACGTCGATTAATTGTCGATCGATTATTTAACAATGTTTTATTGACCAGTATCCGTCGATCAGCTAAAGCTACCACGCCTATCGATCGACGTTGATCAATGGCATCGATCGATTGGTGTGGTAACACCCTAACTGGGATAAGTCCACGATAGTATGCATGTATCTTCTTTGTATATACCTACCGTGAAATGGCCCTGCTTTGCTTCAAATTTAGGAAATCTCTATATATAAAAATCAATTGCTGTCCGTTTAGTCGAGTTAAAAACTGAAAAACGGCTCGACCGATTTTGATGAAATTTTGTGTGTTTGAATGGGTCACTAGATGGTTTATGCGAGTATATCTATTGTAGAGATCCAGAAATTGCCTGTGCAAATCCGGGGCGGGTCGCTAGTTATGAATATTTTTTAAACTGTTATTTATTAAAATATGATATAATAAAATATACTTATATTGAATACGTAAATGAATCCGTGGTTTTTGGTCTTCTTTTTTGAACTGCACTTCTTTTCGTATTATAAAATCAAATTAATAGATAATGTACTCTTCTGTTTGGATGAAACTAATAAGCTGTAAGACATTTTATTTTATTCCCCAATGGTGACAACTCATTTGTTGCCTTCATTACTGTAATGTCTGCTATCTTCTCTAACCACTGTAGTGTAACACAGGCTCGGCACGCACTTTAATTAAACAACACGTCTACTCTCGCCCGAGGCTCTCGTGTAACTGACGCGGTGCGCTCGAGACAGTGACTTATATATAAATGTATGTTTGTGTATTTGTGCATGGTAAATTATTAGTAAATAAAACAAATAACAATATTTACTGTATACTACATATAAGCAAACACTACATCTCTTTCTTATCAAGATTTTTTCTTTTTTTCATTATAACTCATAACAATCACAAAGCAGCTTGTATTGTCTGTATTAATTATTTTCCACTGCTTTTACGTAAACCTTATCTCCCTGTATTATATCTGAGCGAGTTGCTCTGCGTTTCCTATATATATACTCTTTTCCTTTTCCTTTTTTGTATTTTGTCTCTATCCCTGATATCTGAATCTAAATGATTGTCTGTAATTTATTTCACCTATTGATGGAATTTTATCCCTACTTTTTCGGTGAAAAAACAGTTCAGACGCTAACTTCCCAGTAACTGTAAGGAGGGGTGCTGTTATACATTAGAAGATACTCCCATAAACATTTCTTTTAAATCCTTCCTCTCGATCTGGTTGATACGAAGACGTTTCAAAATATCTCTGTTTTGTCTTTCAACTTCGCCGATCATTTGAGGCCAATATAGTACAGTACTAAATAACTTAATGTTACATTCTTTGCAGAAGGATCGAAACTCTTCACTCATGAACTGCTTGCCATTGTCTGCGGTTATAGAAATAGGATAACCAAGTCTACTGAACATTTCTTTTACCATTTTAATAATCTGTAAGCTTGTGATGTTTTTGTAATTGTTTACTTCTTTGTATCGACTATAGTAGTCAACCACTACTAACAGATACTCGTTACTTGGCAATGGTTCCATTAGATCCATTGTGACATCTATCCATGGAGCTGCAGGCAACTCTCGTCTCCTCATTGGTGCAGTTGGGTTTGGCAAACCCACTAACGTACAACATTTACAAGCCTTTACTAATTGTTCTACGTCTTTATCGATACGGGGCCACCATACCTTTGATCTCCAGCGTCCCTTCATCGCTACGATACCTGGATGACCCTCGTATGCAGCATCTAATACACTCTTGCAGAGTTGCTGTGGTATTACAATTTTATTTCTACGAAGTAGAATGCTATCATGGAAACACAACTCGTTTTCAAAAAATTTGTAACTCTTAATCGAATCGTCCCAGTCGTTCTGATAGACACCTTTTTTCACTTTGTAAATCTCTTGTTCTTTTTCTGAATATGCTACAATGGAACTCATTGGTATAGCAACTAGTCTAGAATTTTCCACTATTTGGTACACATGCTGGTCTTTTCCTTTTGGTGGGTTATCAGGATAGTTACATAATCGTGACAAGGGATCAGCTATATTTGTTTTTCCTGGCTTGTATATAACCTTGAATGAATGACTGTAGCCTCAGTATCCATCGTTAAATCCTCGCACGTGGTTTTGACTTCGACCCGAACAATATCTCTAGTGGCTTGTAGTCAGTGACTAAATCAAAAGGCTTTCCAAATAAAAATATTAAAATGTTCGACCCCCCAAACTAATGCTAGTGCCTTTTTTTTCCGTTTGGCTATACCTGCGCTCGCAGTCTGTCAAAGCTCGATTACCATAGGCAATAATTCTAGGGCCATTTGTATCATTTTGTACAAGGACAGCACCAAGTCCGACAGGGCTAGCATCTGCTATCACCTGTCTTGCATCTCTGACGTCATAATACCCTAAAATCTGTATTTCCGTGAGCATCCGTTTGAGTTTTTGGAATGCTTTATCTTGTTCTCCAGACCATTGTTTTTCCAAGCTCTCCCTTTTGCTCATCTTCTGTCTTAACAGGTGCTTCAGAAGTTCTGTCATGGCGGCCAAGTTAGGTATCTATTTGTTTATGTAGTTTAAGAGTCCTAAAAAACTTTGGAGTTCTTCTATGGTCTTTGGGACCCTAAATTTCATAATGCTCTCAACGTACTTGTTGAAGGGTTTACTCCTTCATGTGTAAGCATGTGTCCCAGAAAATTCACATCCTGCGTTTTATATATGCATTTATTGCTATTCAGCACGGCGTTGTTTTTACTAAGTACCTGTAGAACTTTCTTTAGTCATGCATCATGTTCTTCTTCACTGTTCCCGAATACCAGGATATCATCAATAAAATTGACGACCCCTTCACAGTTTATCAGCATCCTTTCAATGATCTTCTGAAAAATCTCGGAAGCGCAGGTAATTCCAAGCATTATTCTTTTATATCTATATAATCTTTTGGGGGTTATAAAAGTCGTTATGTGTCTGGATTCAGAGTGAATTTCCACTTGATGGAAGGCATTTTTTTATGTCTTAATTTGTTAAAATATTTAACTTTCTTCATTTTAGGCAAAAATGGTCCATAGTAGGCAGGGGGTGGTTTTCTTGCAATATAACTGCGTTCGTACATCTCATATCTACGCACAAACGTAATTCACCATTTTCTTTCATGATTGGAACATTGGTGAAACCCATTTAGACGGGCCTTGCACTTCTTCAATTATATCACTGTTTAGTGATTCCTTAATTTTGATTGCAACCTTCTCTTAAAAGGGGATCGGCTTGCTTTTACTCTCCACTTGATTTATCCCGATACCAAGTTTTAAGACACCCAGTCGGACTGCTGTGTTCTTACCAAACAGGTTTCTAGTACCCCCCGAAATCACGTAAATGGTTGTATGTTCCTTTCGTCCATCGACTTCGAGTATAGTTTCAAATGAACCCTCTATTGCCAAAGGATAGTTACTACCCTATGCTAATAATGTCTTGTTTGGTCTTTACATTTGATTAAAAGCATATACTTTTTTGCTTTTTAACTCTTCCCACGTTTTGTAAGATATAAGGTTCTTGCGCAATTTCGAATTACACTTTTCCACAATTTGATCTATGAAATGATCATCTTGCTTTTCGAATGCACACTTTTCGGCTTGTTGACGCAATCTTATCAAAAACAAAAACTTCTCAAATGTCTCTCCTTTTTTCTGTTTTAGCAATCGAAAAACATGCCGCTCATAAACTTTGCTCCGTTTAGGTTGAAAATACTCGTAGAGTTTTTTATTTTGCTACTTAAAGTACATCAACGGTTTCTTTTATCCCAGAGCCACCAAAATGCAATAGCGTAGCTCGTTTCTCGAGTGCTGATATAACTTCAGCTACGTGCAGATAGATTAGTAGAGACCTTTTCCATTTTCCACACCTTATAGCCATAGATGTGCTATCACATTAAAGCTGATAACGGTATCATTATTATTATTATTTTAGTGGCAAACTGAAACAGTTTCTTATATTTTTCTTTTCCAATTTAATGCTGGTATTTTAATACCCAAAGTCCAATTTAATGGTAGTAACTTAGTACCCAAAGTCCAATTTAATGGTGGTACATACCTTAGTACCCAAGCTCCAATTTAATGGTGGTACCTACCTTAGTACCCAAGTTCCAATTTAATGGTGGTATCTTAGTACCCAACTCAATTTAATGGTGGTATCTTAGTACCCAACTCAATTTAATGATGGTATCTTAGTACCCAACTCAATTTAATGATGGTATCTTAGTACCCAACTCAATTTAATGATGGTATCTTAGTACCCAACTCAATTTAATGATCGTATCTTAGTACCCAACTCAATTTAATGATGGTATCTTAGTACCCAACTCAATTTAATGATGGTATCTTAGTACCCAACTCAATTTAATGATGGTATCTTAGTACCCAACTCAATTTAATGATGGTATCTTAGTACCCAACTCAATTTAATGATTGGTATCTTGGTACCCAAACTCAGTTTCATGATGATAATATGTTCCATAACACTCGCCCTTCTCTTTCGGTTTATTTGTTATACTGACTACTTCCATCGCTGTGCCATTTAGGCTTTAGGTAAATTCAATACCTATATTGCGCATTTACCATTATTGATAACTTAGACAGCAATACCCTC